TCTTCCTTCTCCAAAACCCAAAGACTAAGATCACTTTCATGTCATCATTAGGAGGGAATATAACCGAGAAATAACCAGAGTAGTAGGTAAGAAGTCTATTCTTACCTTTCATCTCTTTTCAGCTTTTTATAGATTATTCTTCCAAAAAAAAAAAAAAAGAAAACTCTAAAAAAATTTAGAATCCAAGAATCTTAAGCCTAAAGCTCCTTCCTTGTTCTTCATTTCTCGCTTTTCTCCTTCTCTTTGCCCAACTTCGTCATAAACCCAAAACCACAAAATTTGTACCTTTGCTTTTTCTTGTTTCTGTCGTCTTCTATTTTTTGTTAATTTTTTTTGTTATCATGATATTTTTTTTTATTTTGGTTTTTTTTTTCTTCTAACTGTTAACATGTTGAAGGATTTGATGATAATTAGGTATTAGTTATGGTGTTTGGTAAAGATTAATAGTGATAGTTAGGAGGTTGAGTTCAGTGGTGATTTATGCAATTAACGCTGGTTATAAAAGCGTGTTAATGGTGGTTATGGCTGTGATTGTTTTTTTATCCTCCTTTTTTTGCTTTTTCTTTTACCTTATTCTATTTTCTTATCTTTTACTAAAAGTTTTACATTTTGTAAAAAAACTAACCACTACCTATAGATATGATTATGGGTTTTGATGCATGCAAAGTTTGGATCTTGGAAAAATGTGGGCAATTGAAAATTAGTTTGAATATGAAAGTTTTTATTTTTTTTTTGTTGGGTATCTTTAGATTTCTATTTCTGTTGCTTTGGAATTTTAAAAATTTTTTACTTTTGCTTTTTTATTTGGTTTTCATATTTAGATTCGAGGTAAAGTGATGGCTGCGACTTGAAATTTAGCTCATTAGAGGAAAGTTTCTTGCCATTCTTTGAATTTTAAATGTTGATTTTTTATCTGATCTTTCATTTGACTTTGTATGTATTCAGATAGTTAGGTTTTTCCTTGGTTTTTTTTTTTTTTTTAAATAGGGTTTTGGGTTTAGTTGTAATGATTTGATGTTTTTGGTAATTGACTGTTATGGTGGTGGGAGTGATTATAGTGACAGCGGTGTTTGTAGAAATGGTGATGATGGTAGTGATGGTGGTGGCAGATGTAACGGTGGCTTGTGACGATGACATTAGGGTGATAAAAATTAGTGTCTTGAATCCGGAAATGCTAAGAATACCCTGAACATATAAAAAATTTATAATTTCTTCCTAAAAAGGACATATGTCACACAAGTCCACCTAAATACAAAATAATATAGAATAGTTAAATATAATAATATTTAATAAAGTTGATGTGGCATGATGTGGCAATGAAATGTGCTAATTTGGCATTTGAAATGAACAATAAAATTGATGAATTGACATCAAATTAAAAAGAAATTAAAGAGGGGATAATTTTATAGCCATACATATTTTAATATTTTTAATACTTTATTTTTTTATTTTTCATCAAAATATAAGTTTTAAATTTTCATTAACTTAAATATATTATCAGTTAATTGTAAATATTTGTTGATTAAATGTACATATATTGTGTACATGTGATACATCCAATAAAGGTAATTGCTATTTACTCTTGATATTTCCTTTTCATTAATTGACATCAAGTAATAATTGTTTCCATGATCACACCGTTATGTAATTCTTCCAATTTTGTTTGTAAGAGATCAAGTTGATGATTCATATATTTATATTATATAAAATATTAAAATTTATGTATTTATATTATATTTTATATAAAAATTATATATCATAATTCGTATTAATATGAATATATAAAATATATTTTTTTATTTTATTAAATTTATATATAATAATTATTAAAATTTTAAATTATATTATTTTTATATTATTATGATATTATCGTATTGTACTTTAAAATATCATTCGTAAAAAAAAATCTTGCAAAATTCCAAAACCAAGACAAAGTGAAAGGTAAAGTAAGAGAACGGACAAATAATGCCGGCAACGGTATAGTTGAATACAAAAAAAGTGAAGTTCATCGAGCTAATAATGGAGTATGAATGTTTGCTGGCTTGGATTGGCTTGATTTTAGGCAATAATTGTTAGAGATCCGATTCCAGTTTTAGCTTATGAAACAATTTTATTACCAAATAATTATTTTATTTAATTTTAATTTAGAATATAAAATATTTATAAATTTAAATTAAATGAATCTAAATTGATTTTAATGGCCAAATAAATGGCACAAAACTTTTGACCAAAATATTTCCAAACGTAAACGGAGTTAGTCTGTCTCAACCTCACCCATAGATATCAAACTTTATATATATATATATATATATATATTTGATAAAAAATTTTTAGTTAAATAAGTTATTTAATCTCTCAAATTATGATAAAATATGTTATATCTGATAATTTATGACAGATAACTATAAATCATACATTCGATATAATCTCAACAAGTGATTACTGATAAGATTCAAAATTAAAATTTTTTCAACAAATTTTAATCAATTGAATCAATTATTATTGATAATATATATATATATATATATTACATATATAATAAACAAATAAATTAGCATTAAACCAACGCATCATTGACAGATATCACTCTTGAATAAATATGCAATTGATTCTTTATATATTGTTTACCATAAATTGATTTTCAAATAATTAAAAATTATATTATTTTTAGTATAATTTATGTTAAAAGTTACTAAAAATTCATAAATTTAAAAATAAATGCTAAAAAATATTACTAAAAATAAAAAATAACAATATTAATAAGATATAATATAATTTTGAAAATTAAAAAAATGACATAAAAATGAAAAAAAATTTATTTCAAATCATATTCCTTAAATTTGAACATTTTACACTAAAGTAAATATTATAAATAAGTAGTTGAAATTTGGAAAAGTTACAGCTATTAGGAAATGAAATAGAGGGAAAATATAATTGATATTCAATGAAAATAAAATGTAAGAAGAATAAAACAGAGTATGTATTATTAAATTTGGTTCATTAGAATTCATTAAAATACAATAGAGAAGCAAATAGTATTAATATATTTGGTTAGTTTATAGAATATGAAAGGATCAAGTTCATATTATTTTTATAATTTATTATAAAATTATTAATTAAGAGAAATAAATAAATATTTGTAATAATTTAAATAAAAAATAAATGTTGATATTAAATTAATAATACTAAATATTAAAATTAAAATAATATTAATTCCACAATTAATGTTATTAAATATTAAATTTAAATGTTAGACATTTAATAATATTAAATATGTTTAATAATTTTTTATATGAAACTAATAATATTAAATATTAGTTTAATAAGATTTACTATTATTTTCATATTATTTTAATACTATTTTCATATTATTTTATCTTAAACATTAATTTAATAATATCTTAATATATTATGTTATACTATTCGTATTTTAATATTATATATTAAATACATAGTATTTTAATACATTATAAAATTTTAAATATTACTTAAATATTAACTATTAATTTAGTAATATTTTAATATTTCATAATATTTAATATTTATTTACTAATGTTTAAATATTTTAATCTTATTTTAAGAAATATTTTATATTAAATTAATTAATATATTACTACATAATAACATGAAATATTTATATAATAATATTTTATTATAAATATTATTTTAAAAATATTGTAACATATTATATTATTTAAATAACATTTTAATATTAAATATTAATTTAATAGTATTTTAATATTGACTAGTATTTTAATATTTAAAATATTATAATAATTAATAATATTAATTATTAATAATACCTATTTGAATATTATTTTAATACTAAATATTAATTTAATAATAATTTAATATAATATATTAATTTCATAATATTTTAAAATTAGTTTTAATATTAAATATTTAATTAATAATATTTTATTATTTAATATTATTGAATTGTATTAAAGTAATATTAATTAATTTAATAATTAAATATTATGATTAATATTATTGAATTAATGAAAATAAAATAATACTAATTAATCTTAATTAAATGTGTAAAGGTAAAGTTACAATTACTTAAATATATAAACATAAAATTGTCCAATAAATAATAATCTCCATTCCTAATGAGGTAGGAACTGTAATCCTTGGGAAAGAGTAAAAAATTGCTATTTTTTATTTTTAAGAAATTGACATTCTATGAAATCAACATTCCATAAATTATTATTTTTTATTAAAAAAAATAAATCAAATATGAAAATAAAAATTATAAAAAAGTGATTGAAAGAGAATCTTAATTTCATCCATCCAAACAAGGGATTATTGGGTTAGTACTACGGAAATATTGCACAACAGTAGGTAGAATCGAATTTGATTTATTTTTTTTAGTTGAAGGAAAAATTTGTGGAATTTTTGTAAACAGAAGATGTTGGCGTAAGCGAAGGCAAAGCTTGTGATGAAAGCTAAACATTACCAACTGGTGGTTGAAATGTGGGGATGAAGCTTTGGCCCTGTGGTTAAGCAAATATGAAATAGAAACCAAGCAAACATTACTGTCAGGATGTCGGTGTCAGTTTCATCAACCGCGCTTAATATTAATAAAAAATTTATCGATAAAACATTCTAGAAAATATTATTCTTTTAATACTTCATGTTACGTTGATTTTATTTTTATTATTAAAATTAAAAATTTTAATATTTAATTAATAAATTATATGATTATTTATTATAAAAATAATTTTAATATAATAAAAAATAATATGATAATTGAAGTATTTATATTATATTTATTTTAATTAAATATATATAAAATATAAAATTAATGTATTTTTACTTTTAACAAATTAATATACAAATTTTGTTAGAACCGAATAACTTTTATTATTTTTATAATACCTTATTATATTTAAAATTGACAAATAAAAAAAAAATCTCAAAGGAAACGGATATTTATTATTTTGGGAAATATCGAGTAGCACTGTAAGTTTCCCAACCATCCAATTCTACAGCTTCCAGCTCAATTACATCACAAGTCCAACCCCTCAGTCCAAAAAGCAATAAAGAAAGCAACCACCGCCTACTTTCCACATTATCTTTTTTTTATCAACAAACTTTCCTCTTCCTCTCATCAGATCTGTCGGTGCTGTTGATGTGCTGCCGACGCAACCTCTCTAAACTCTAATAAACGCTTCCAAGTAAAAAACCACTCCATAAATATGAGCATGTACGGCAGAGATCCCTGGGGAGGCCCGCTGGAGATAAACACGGCTGACTCCGCCACGGACGATGATAGGAGCAGGAATCTACAGGACCTGGACAGGGCTGCGCTCTCTCGGCCTTTGGATGAGACCCAGCAGAGCTGGCTGCTTGGCCCCGGCGAGCAAAAGAAGAAGAAGTACGTTGATCTGGGATGCATCATTGTCAGCCGGAAGATCTTTGTGTGGACGGTGGGGACCCTCCTACTCTCAGGCTTCCTTGCCGGATTCATCACGCTAATCGTAAAGACGGTTCCACGTCATCACCACGCAAAACCTCCGCCCGATAACTACACTCTCGCTCTTCACAAGGCGCTAATGTTCTTCAATGCTCAGCGTTGTACGGTTTTTTTCTTTCATTAGTTTTATGTAGTCTTTCTTGACCCATAATACTGTTAATAATCTGATCCATCAATCCACTACAGCTGGGAAGCTGCCCAAGCATAATAACGTGTCGTGGAGAGGGAACTCGTGCCTTCAAGATGGCAAATCCGATCCCTCCACTTTGATGAAGAATCTGGTCGGTGGTTACTACGACGCTGGTGATGCTATCAAGTTCAACTTTCCTGCATCTTTTGCCATGACCATGTTGAGCTGGAGCGTCATTGAGTACAGTGCTAAATACGAGGTTGCTGGGGAGCTCAATCATATTAAAGAGATCATCAAATGGGGTACTGATTATCTTCTCAAGACCTTCAACAATTCTGCTGATACCATAGACAGGATTGCAGCGCAGGTACTATGCCTTATTTCATTCTTCTTCTTCGTCAATTTTTATATGCTAACATATAAATTCACAGGTTGGGATTGGAGATACTTCTGGAGGCAGTACTACCCCAAATGATCACTATTGCTGGATGCGTCCTGAGGACATTGATTACCCACGTCCTGTCTTCGAATGTCACAGTTGCTCCGATCTTGCGGCTGAAATGGCTGCTGCTCTGGCTTCTGCTTCCATCGTTTTCAAAGACAACAAGGCATACTCCCAAAAGCTTGTACACGGCGCCCGGACCCTCTTCAAGTTTGCTAGGGATCAAAGAGGCAGATACAGTGCTGGTGGTTCCGACCCTGCCCTATTCTATAACTCCTCCAGTTACTGGGATGAGTTTGTTTGGGGTGGAGCCTGGTTATACTATGCCACTGGGAATTCTTCCTACCTTCAGTTAGCAACTAATCCCAAACTTGCCAAGCATGCTGGTGCATTCTGGGGAGGCCCAGATTATGGTGTTCTTAGCTGGGATAACAAGCTTGCTGGTGCTCAGGTAACTCTATGCTACTTGTCTTTCTAGTTTTGTACCTTGTCTAGCTGTCTGCTCTGTTTTGATTATTTGATGTAAGGCTTTCTTGTTAAAAGTTTGCTCAGAATTTATATCTTAGGTTGGTTTGTGTTGTTCACAGTGCTTTGATATGCGAATAATTAATGTGCATTTCACTTTGGGCAAGAAAGGTGAATTTTCTTAATAGAATCAATTAGCTTTCTTTCAGGCATTTAGTAAACTTCTTCCTGTTTATGTTCATAATATGATTCAATATTTCGTGTTAATTTCAGTAAAGGAATATCCTAGTTCTTGTTTCTTTGCCATTTTTCATTACAAACAAAGTTGTTTGTCTTCTATTTTGAGTAGTCTCAACTATATTTGAAGCAACATTGCCACTCATTAGTTATCTTGTATTTTGTAGTTAATCATTTCCCCCTCATCTTTTCTTGCCTAAACTATTTGTATGATTGTCTCACAATATCATCAATTAAAGTAGCAACTTCAAGGCTACTAAAGTTGCTACTTTGATATGCAATTTATTTTGATGGATAATTTAATTAGTGTGCTCAACTGCCTGTGTCTCTGTTTGCAGTAATCTTCTTTGATACATTTACTACTCTGCCACAATCTGCTCATATAGGGTTATTAACTTTTATTATTGTTTAACTGTAGAGGTTTCTGGAAATAGCTTGCATGTTCATGGCTAATATAACCAATGTTTTGTGTTTTAGGTGCTTCTGAGCCGGTTGAGATTGTTTTTGAGTCCTGGGTATCCATACGAGGAAATATTGAGAACGTTTCACAATCAAACAAGCATAGTAATGTGCTCATTCCTTCCAATATTCACTAGCTTTAATAGAACAAAAGGTAGACATATCTCCTGTTTTTGTTGACCATGTCATACTCAAATGTGTTGGCTATGTACTTTTCTGTGACCACGATAACTTTGGACATTACACAGGAGGTTTGATTGAGTTAAACCATGGAAGGCCTCAGCCTCTGCAATATGTTGTCAATGCAGCCTTCTTAGCCGCCCTATACAGTGATTATCTTGATGCTGCTGATACACCTGGATGGTATTGTGGTCCCAATTTCTATTCAACTGATGTCTTGCGTGAATTTGCCAAAACACAGGTATGTTGTAGTCTGTTCTTTTTCAAAAGATAGTTGAGGGGACATGGTTCAGACCACTTAATCCTCGTTCTTGGGCAGGATAGCCAATAATTTTGTTTCTTTGGCTGTTGTTTTGGCAGATTGATTACATCCTTGGGAAAAATCCTCGGAAAATGAGCTATATTGTGGGTTTTGGTAATCATTACCCAAAACATGTTCACCATAGGGGTGCATCTATCCCTAAGAATAAGATCAAATATAACTGTAAAGGTGGAAGGAAATGGAGGGATACATCAAAACCAAACCCACATACACTAGTGGGAGCAATGGTTGCTGGACCTGACAAGCATGATGGATTTCATGACGTTCGCACTAACTACAACTACACAGAGCCAACACTTGCAGGCAACGCGGGTTTGGTTGCTGCACTTGTGGCATTGTCTGGTGATAAGTCAACTGGGATTGACAAGAATACCATTTTTTCTGCAGTTCCACCAATGTTTCCCATACCGCCACCACCTCCAGCACCTTGGAAGCCATAAAAATGTTTTTGATCTTTCTTCTGTTTCCACCTTGTTGTGTGACTTACGGTCTGATGATTTTGAAAGTAGTTTCTTGGTACCATAATGACCTTGAAAGTAAAAGTAATTCCAAGGGCAAGAAAGATTAGAGCAATGGAACAACCTGCAAGGAACTTATGGTGGACTGCCTATCAGATTGGAAAATTGAACTAGCATTCAGAATAAATTAATTTGAGTACGAAGTTAATTTGGATTTCGTTGTATAAATAGTGTATATGTATGATATTAATATTGTATTCTTCGAAACACGACTTTAAACACTTTAGAATTGGGTAACAATAAATTTGCGTCTAACGTCTAATTGTTGCAGTTTTGGCGGGTAAAAATCCTGCCTTAACTGTTCCCATTTGTACGGCTTTTCACTAAGCATTTCACACCAACTAGGCTGGGGGAGTCCTTGAATCGAAAGTGTATGTGGTTTCTTTGTATGTATTCCGTACTTCTTTGTACTTTCATGGTTTTTGCTTTAAAAATGGCACGATAAGCAAATGAGTTTGAAAAACTATAACAGTCGATAAACCGCAATGCCCATTGGATTAGTAGCAGAATCTAGTGTAGCTGTATTTGTTGTTGATGTCTAACCAAACTGGGTGGTTGCTGCTGTTTGTTTTCTCATTGTTCTCATGTCTCATATTGCTGTACGAGTTCTTCATCGTCTTGGGAAGGTATCCAAAACGATTTTTGCACGTCCTCCTCCATGTTTGCACCATGTTTAATATCAAAATTCGTTTTTTCAGTTAAATATTTGTCCTGGAATTTCAACAGTACTGTCAAGGGAAGTACAAGTGTAATTAAATTTTTTTTCCCCAAAAACTGCTGGTAATCTGATAGCTCTACAAGAGAGGAAAAACAGAAAAGAGCAGGAAAAAAATGGGAGAGAGAAGACAGAAAGGAGGGGAAGAAAAGTTTTGAAGATTCTTGTGGACGATTTTCATTTCAGTGCAGCACTGAATAGCAAAACTGTTAGGTTGTACAATAATCGTTTTTACTTCTTTAATGCAGCTACCTTATCGTTACAAATAGAATCAGCTAAGGTCAGCTCATACATCATGCATTCTTAGCCTTTTAAACATAGATTCTCAACCCATATCAAAATCCTTGATCCACCTAGAGGCCTTGTTGATGCGTTTTGGGTTCGAACTTGGGTAGCTGAAGATCCTCACATTTTGGATTTGGGCTCATATCATTACTCCATTACTCCACTCTCCAACATCAACCTTGTCCTCAAGGTTAGAGTAAGGATAGTTGAATGCAATATCATCCTCTCATTCCCAGGTAGCTTTAGCCTCTGGCAGGTGTTTCCACTGGATTACAAGTTGAGTGAGAAAAGTGTTATTGTGTCGAACCTCTCTTTAATTAAGGATCTTCTCTGGTTCAAGAATAGGTTGATCATTTACGGCTTCCACTCGTAGTTGGCAAGAGAAAAAAGATGGCTGTCCATGGCACGCCTTGAGGAGAGAAACATTAAAGGTAAGAAGAATTTTAGCTGTTGGAGGAAGATTCAGCTCGTAGACGACAGAGCCTATCTTTCTGTTGATTTGGAAAGGACCAAAATATTTTTTTGCCAGTTTTTGGTGTATTTTGTGAATAACAAAATGTTGTCGATATGGCTGTAGTTTGACAAACACCCAATCGCCTTCATGAAAAACACGTTCTACCTTGTGGCAATTAGCTTTTATTTTCATGCGATTTCGAGCTTGTTCTAGATCGGTCTTCAGTCTCGATAGTAGTTCTTGCCTCTCAAGGACAATGTCAACAAGGAGAGTTATGTTGGAGTTGCTAGAGATATAGGAAGCATTGGTGGGTGGAGGTAAACCATAAATAGCCTCGAATGGAGTGATACCGACAAGGAGTGGTAGGACGTATTGTACAACCATTCGGCCCAATGTAAAATGCGAACCCAATGCTGAGGCTGCTCGCTAACAAAACAGCAGAGATAAGTCTCCAAAAAACAGTTTAGTACCTCTGATTGCCCATCAGTCTGAGGATGGTACGCGCTGCTAAGCTTTAACTCAGTGCCTTGTAGTGTATAAAATTCCCTCCAAAAGTTACTAGTGAATAAGGGATCTCTATCATTGACTGTGGAATGAAGAATGCCATGGAGTCGTGCAATTTCTTTAGCATAGAGGTCAGCCAATTGAAAAGCAGTGGCTGAGGATGATATTGGAATAAAGTGGTCATAGACGATCAACCACTACCTAAATGACAGACTTGCCTTGCGATGCTAGCAGGTTAGTGGTGACGTCCATAGCAGTATCTTGCCAAATGTGAGATGGTACGGGTAAGGGTTCTAATAGACCACCGGACTTAGCTAGGATATATTTGGCTTGCTGGCAGATTTGACAAGCCTTGATAAAGTTGACTGATTCACGCTTATCCTTCCAATAGAAATTAGTAGACAATCGATCCAATTTCTTTGAGATTCCTGTGTTTCCTCCTGTTAGAGCGGAGTGAAATTTTTTGGGCAATGTGTTCTGTAGCTCGTGTCCAAGTGATATGACAATCTTGCCAGAATGCCAAATAAGTCCATTTGAGGAAGAAAATTCATGAAATGGGTTGTTGTCTTGCCTACTTTTGCCATCATAGCCTGACCCATATCAATAAAACTATAATAATGCTGCACTTGTTCTAAGAAGGAAAAAAAGGGGACCAGAAATTGCATTATAGGCACCACCGAGAGTACGGCAACGTGAGAGAACATCAGCTACTCTATTATGCTTGCCTGGTCTATATTGAATAGTGTATTGGAACCTCTAAAGCTTGACAAGCCATTTCTGCTGCTCTGGAGTTTGAATTGTTTGCGACGTCAGTCCTTTAAGACTTTGCTGGTCAATGTAAATGGTAAAGGGTCTGCCAAGTAAATTTTGGTGCCACTTATGGAAGGTTTCTGTGATGGTGAACATTTCCTGAGCATAGGTAGAAACGGCTTGCATTTGAGCTCCCACTTTCTTGCTGAAAAATGCAATTGGGTGGCTTGCTGGGAGAAAACGACACCAATTGCTACAGTCGAGGCATCAGTTTCCAAAGTGAAGGGCTTAGAAGAATCAGGTAGAACTAAGACCGAAAGTGCTGTCACTTGAGTGACTGAAAGCCAATAGAAGCTTCCGATGACCAGGCAAAATGATCTTTCTTAACCAAATCAGTAAGTGGTGCAGCAATAGTGGCATAATGGCGCACGAATTTTCGATAGTAACCTGTGAGACCAAGGAACCACCGAAGTGCCTTGAGATTTGATGGTGGAGGCCAATCCATGATAGCCACAATTTTAGGAGGGTCAACTTGAACACCATCCCCACTAATGATATGGCCTAAATAGTCAAAAAAAGTACACTCAAAAAACATTTAGTCAACTTGGCATAGAAATGATGTGCCTGCAAGAGCTGTAAAACCTAGATAAGTGACAAAGATGATCTTGCCAAGTAGGACTACATATCAAAATATGATCGAAAAAAATCAAAACAAATCTTCGAAGGAATGGTCGAAACAAATCATTCATTGCAACTTGCAAAGTGGATGAGGCATTAGTTAATCCAAACAGCATTACCAGGAACTTAAAATGGCCAGCTGATGTTCGAAATACAGTCTTACGTTGATCTTCAGGGGCTACTCGAATTTGATGATACCTAACCCGGAGATCAGTTTTGCAGAAAATAGTTGCACCATGTAATTCACTAAACAACTCATCAACTGTTGGGAAAGGAAATCCGTCGTGAAGAGTAACAGCATTAAGAGCTATGTAATCAACATAAAAACACCAGGTGCCATCTTTTTTTGAACAAGCAGAACAGGAGATGAAAATGGACTTGTGCTGGCCGAACGATCCCTTTCTGAATGATCTCAGTTGGCAAAAGAAGGTCGGCTGGCAAAGAATGTTTGACTTGCAAAGGAAGGTTGACTTGCATAGGAGGTCTAACCTTGATTGTTATTCCATGAAAAGATTGGGATACTCCTTAATTGACTACAAGAATACAGGCCCTGCAAGTAATAAAGAAGGTGAGTTGAGTATCTTCTCCAAGGACTGAAATTAGGGCTACCTAAATCTAAGTACCAAGACTCAACCTACTTGAACTATATTTAGATATATCAAACAAGGAAATTTAAGCTAATCTACTCTAAGCTAAAGAACACAAGATAAAGGCATGAAAGTAAACAAGCAAAATAAAGAAACATAGCAAGTAAATATAGTAACTATGCAAGTAAGTAAACAAGTAATAGAACAAGTAACAGAACAAATAATCTACTCTAGGAAATGCATCAAAACAGCAACAAAATAACATGCAAAAGAATTAAAATGGAACTAAGTACAATCAGCTAACACATTAGCAAAATAGAAAATTCAAAACGAATACTAGTGTGAAAATCGAACCTTAAAGAACATGAAATGAAGAATACCGAACCTAAAAGCTCTATATACTGATCTAAAACTCATTAAAGAACAGTAAACTAACCTAAATCTAATTTGAAATCAAGTAAAATGCGTGAAAGCAAATGAAAACCGAATGAAGAATACAAACTGAAACTTAAATCTAAAAACAGAATTTGAAATCAATGCATCGTAAATCCTAGATCTACAACTTAACTGAAAGAATGAACTAAAAATTAAGTGAACTTCAAAATTAACTAAAAGAATCAGCTCAAAATACACAAAAACAAGCTCAATGAACTCAATTAACTTTCAAAATCTAAAACAAAGAAAACAGAAGAATGAACATCTAAATTAGCCAAACAACATGTAAAAGCAAGAAATGTATATCTACATCTAAACACATGAAATAACAAGTGAGAATAAGGAAAGAGTAATGGACCAATGCCTAGCAAGGAGAAGAAGCCACCACGGGCACTATCACCACCCCCGCCTCCTCTGCTGCCAACAACTAGACTGTAACCTGTAGGAATTTTAGAAAAAAATCTAGATTGAATCTATTGATGAAATTATCCAAAATTGAACTACTATGAATGCGGATTATACAGTAAAAATTTCAGCTCAAAATTGCGATAAAAATTCAGTGATGAAATGAGAAAACCAAAACAGTGCTGGCAGAGAAAGCTCCCAAATAGATTTGAGAACTCAATGGAAATTGCAAGAAATTGAATAGAAAGCAAGTGAAATGTAAATTGCATTAAGAAAACTATAAATGTGCAGGAAATTTAAAGTGCTTAATATAAAATTTGCAAGAAAATGTAAAAATAATTTCTCCCAAACATACTTCAAAAGGAAAATGGAGGGAGCTATCTATATAGGAAAAAGAGTTGCGAAAATTTTAAATGCAGAAAATGTAAACTGCCTTTGTCGCCCTTCTAAGTCCTGTTTACAGACGCATTTTAGATCTAATCCAACCAATAAGCTTCCTCCAAAATGCCACATAGGACGCCAGATGGGAAGATATTTTAAGCTCGTTAAGATCCTTTTAGAAGCTTTCTAATT